ACAATGCAATGACAATTACTATGTTATAAAATGTAACCTTATCATCTGAAGATTCTAAGAATGATGGTTTCAGTCTGTAAAGAGTTTACATTTTTTTCTCCTTTGCAGGGACACAAGCAGATTTCCTGTTTGTGGGTTGCACTTGCCTGAATTTTGCCAATGGGTTTAAGAAGGAGAAACTCAAACAAAAGACCGTTTGCCTGGTTTAAAGTTTCACATTTATGTTTCACATAATTTTCAATGAAAACTTAAACCATTACTAGGCTATGTGGGGAAGGATTCAGCCAGTCCTCAACTACTGTACAGTGTTTTTGTCTACTGTTAAAGTGCTGCCAGGCCCCTTTCCTCCTGTAAGTGGCTGAATTTCAGCAATGGGTGAAGTTATTCAGGTGCACACAGATTTTACATACAATGGAAACCAAGTTAGAAGCCAAGGGGAACGAGTGGCTTCCTAGACCTGAAATATTTCCCTGAGGCTGAAAAAAAGAGGAGATGCATGATGGACAAGGAGTGTCCCAGTACAGAAGGCAAGAAGAAGATGACACTCTGAACTGGGGAAGCTTGGGGAAATGCGGAAGGAGAGAAATTTTTGTATAGTCCTAGATGTAGGGTTTCAGACGGTTTATCAGCTCCTCAGATCCCAAATTTAGGAAGTTACCGTAGAGGCACACTCAGAAAATCCTGGTACCATTCCCAAGATTAAACAAACCTGGTCACATGAAGAGAACCATTCATGGAGTACTGTTATATGAGATACTATTTCAGTCAAGCGGGGAGAATATGAGATGCTTACATAAGGTTCACTTCCTGAGCAACATGTAAAGCATGTCTGATCACCATAGAGAAAGTACTATTCGAAAGTGTGGATCGGATCAGATCTGGAATGGTGAGTGTCACGGGATGGGGTCTCCAAGGATGGCCATGATACCCTAGGGCCCCTTGACCATGCCTATTTGGTCCGATAGGCACCCTCTTTTCTCACCCACCACGTCTTGATGCAATTGTAATGAGTAGGGAGGCTGCCTTTAAGCCTACTTGGGCATGATCCTGATGGACTTCCCTGAATCCCGTGCGTCCCGCACCCCTTGTGAGTCCCATTTCAAAATAGAGGTCCTGGGACACCCCAGTCTTATGGGCTATATGCGTGGCTCCAAACCTTCCCTTTACCACACCCCAAGTCTCACAGATGGTATTGCCATTTTTTCTCCCAGGCTGTGCTACAACTCAGCCCTTGTTCTCACTGGGCTCTCCACAGCCCTGTCTCTGTGCCCCAAATGCCACACCCTCTCTGGTGCCAGGGTCCCCACACTATAGTGGGCCCCCAATCAGGCCTCCTCCTTCCCCAGATAGCCTCACCAAAACCACCAGTGTTATAAACAGCAAACAAACATAAGCCCCTGGGCTATAACATAATACAAAAGACCAGGGTGTGCTCTGCCCCTTTATAAGCATTGCACTTCGTCCCTGGCACTAAGTGTCTAGTAGGCCAGGGTACCTGCGGAGCTCATGGAGCCCCATTAGCCCTAAGTGTAGCATATCAGGCAGTTGCTGCGTCACTGGGCACTTCTTCCCTGGAGGCTCATTCCCCTCTAGCATCTAGCAGGGAACTGCCTTCCCTAGTTCCAGCCTGGGGTTTATATAGACCCAGGGCCCTGCCCCTTCTGGTCAGCTGACCATGTGCAGGTGCAGGCTAATTTGCCCTCTGGCTTGTTGCCCTGGTAACCTGCACCTGGGCTTCTGTCTTTCTCTTTGACTCTTTCCCCAGGCAGTTTCTATTCTTCTAGGAGTGGGCACCTTAGTGCCCTGTGACAGTGAGGCATATATTAAAGGCACATCATTTTGATAGCTGATGGTAATAGGTAGGAGGGATTCTGTGAACAATTGGTAGGAGCTAGAAGAAAGGCATTCCTCAAAAGATGAGGTTTTGACAATCCAGATTTTGGAAATGGAAGCGTTGGTTTTGGGAGGAAGGAAGCAAATGATGAGCTGCATAACTTAATTCTGAAGGAAAAGGCAATAAAGTTTCACACCAAATTCATCCTTCTGATCTAGTGCCTGGCACAGAAGAAGTTGGACACCATAGAGGATGAGATATCACCCTTAAAAAAATACTGTGTCCTAGCAAGGGTATAACCCATAGGACTTTCCCTGAGGCTGGGCAAGTTTCAAGGGAGGCCCTATAAAGGTCAGAAGCTATGGGGCCAGACAGCTCTGTTCAGTTTTCAGATTTAGCTGGAAAGGGGTGTGTAAAGAAATCCTCCTCAGTCTGGGTCACCTCTGTATTGATTCAACCTGGTCACCCAGGTGACTGAGCTGAAATAAATTTCTAAGAGAGCTCACTCTTCCTTTGTCCTGCAGCAGGCATTTTGGGAAGGGGACAGGCAGTCATTTTGGGAACAAACACACAGAAAGATATGCCACCATGAGAGACAGACTCTCCGGATGATTTGTAAGCAGAAATCTGGAATCTGGCTACTAGATTAAAACTAAGTATTTAGCTGCATGTTAAAAGGTCACTGAACTCAATATTTGATGAGGCTCAATTTATTCTGTATTGCTCAAGGTGTTTTGGGTTTCTCTTAAACTTCCTTGGTTCTATCCCTCCCCGATTCTCTCCCTCTGATCAATAAAAAGCTATCTGGCTCAGCATGCCTGGCTGTGAGTGCCTGAGGGGAGAGAGAATTCAGCTGATTATTAACTAATTCTTTCCTACCTGAGATTATCCTGGGAGGCTCCAGGCTATAAGGAGCACTCAGAAATACTACCAGTGGGCAAAGGACATCCGCGGTCTGCAAAGTCTGCGTATCCTGGGTGGCACAGAGCCCTAACAGAGACCAGCGCCCGGGTGGTGGCAGCTTTACCCCAGGTTTGCTGGGGTCCAGGAAGGGGGATGGCCAGATGTAGGCACTGCAGGGAAGACTCCTGAAGCTTGGTTTTGGGCCTGGCACAGTGAGGTAAGTCGCTCAGCATAATAAGCACCCCTTACTGTCCCACCACAGGGTCAGCTAACATTTATAGGAAAACAAGGCTCATTTTGAACCCCCTGTTAACTGCAGAAAACAGGGGAACTATTCTGTTTTTCTATTCGGTCTTACATTAGTACATGCCCTAAGCAAAGGGCCTTGGGCAAAGTACAGAGTTGTTCTTCAGCTAATGCAGGATACTGTTGGTCTCTAACTCTTCTCTGGAAGAATAGGTTAAAACAAGGCTGTCCAACTTTGGTGCAGCCTGGGCTTCATGTTCCTTGGGCTGCACAAAACATACGGCACATAATGTAGGGGCACCCCCCATAACCTAAGGATTCTTCCCTGCTGCATGGTAGCACCAGTGATACATGGCCTAATGCCATCTGACATTGGGAAAGGCAGTTGCAGGGGGGCTATGGGCCACATGTTTACTACTTGTGGGTGACACACTGGCTCATCACAGACCATATGTGAACCATGGCCCATCAAATGGGTAGCCCTGGTGTAAAGGAAAGCAAATGTGAGACATCACTAATTTCCACATATAAAAAGATACAAACATGGTCCAGTATTGCAAACAATAAAACACTCACTTTTTGGCCAGGTACAAACATTAGAGTTTTACCAGTATAAGTGCTCGTAACAATACAGAAGTTCAGGGCACACAGACTGATTTAAAAATGGTGGAACCTGGTCTAGGATAGACCTGGATCAATGTGCATTCAAACTTAATCAATTCAGGTTAGACTGTGGAATCAAACTTCTGTACCAGATCCCCTATTGATTTGTTTGATTGCTGTCTACTGGCACCCCAGACACTCATACATCACTCTGCTAGCCCCCTCTCACAGAGAGGCATGCTACCACTTGCCCTTCACTCATCTTCTCTAGCCAAGTGCACAGCCTACCCTGCCCCTTGGATCTCACAGAGCTGAGTCAGCACAGTGGCTCACTATAACGGGGAAGGGGAGGGCTGACGGAAGGGGTTCTCAGCCATGCGCTGCAGCCCAGTCAGATTCCCTAGGGCTGTGCCAGTTCCTGAGGTTCTAGGGGTCCCTGGGTGACCATCCAGAGACCCCCATGCCCTCCATAAGCATGCACAACCCTAGGCAGCATGACTGGACTGCAGGGGATGGGCAAGTATGGGTACCTCCACTGCCTAACTGCAGTTGACATGCTGTAGCTGATGATGATGGGCAGACAAGGAGGAAGTAGTGCTTGCCATGCCCTGCAGCCTAGTCAGACTATCTGTCACTGTGCTTACTCTTGCGAGAGTATGGGGGTCCCTGGGTAGGTGGGCTCCTGCACACCTGATGGGGGGTTGGCCTTGGGTGTGGCCAACCTGATGGTCTCAGTCTGTGCAGGCAGCCTGTGTGCCTTCCCACCAAAAGATGAAGGTGTGCTCTGTTTACTCCCAAACCAACCTAAGCCACTTACGGAAACCCACATAAGTTTGATGAATTCTGCTTCGGGCTTTTTGAATACATACTTAACCTTGGACATTTTGAAATGCTTGTGCCACTGCTAGCTCTGACCTTCTATGAATGTCACTTAACCGAGGCCTTATTTCAGTAACAGTTCAAGAAGTAGTAAAAGACGGGTCAAAAAGAAAGAAAAAAGCACTTTGAAGGTGCAGACTTATGGCTAAAGCCCAACATGATCAGATACAGGAGACCTGACATGCCAAGAAATCTTTAAAAATATAATTGCACCATGTATGGACATATGGCTGTAAAAGCCAGTCATCTACAAACTAAGTACTGATCTGAGTGTTTAAATTCATTCATTATTTAAGTCCCATATTTGTACACTAGCATCACTGTTTCATATCCCTCCTGAAGGAGAAAATGTTATTATCTGAGCAGTAACCGATTGAGATCTTTCCTGTTTGCTATATGTGTTACTAATTAATTCAATTTAAATGTACAATCTGTATCAATTTACAATTTATATTTTAATCTTATAGTTCTAATGTGGTTAGGCCTGTTGAGACAAATTATTCAGAGGTTCGGAGAAACAAGATAACAATCTTACCGCTACATTACCACTGCAGTTTGGGGATTGGCAAACACCAGTTATTCTGTTTGGAATCAGCACATCGTCCCAGCACGATGGACCCTTTAAAATAAAATCAACATATATACAAGGTTTTAAATCCACTTGGCAATAAGCTATACCTTTTTTCTTGTTTTCCTCCCACCATCCCTGCCCCTTAGCTAGAATATTACTAAACAAGAAGTTTATTAATTTACACTAAACAAAATACAAGCAAAGGTTCTAAAATTACCAAAAAGACAACATCCATGTTTAAAACTTAGTCATTCGTAGAAAATATAGCCTTTCCATTCTGAGGCTAATGTTCTGAACAGCCGTCAAACTCTCAACAGTTTTTTTCATTGCTAAGAGTTCAGCCAGGGACTTTCTTAATTATGATTAAAAAGCTACAGAGGGCCCATCTTCTGCCTGAACAATGTTTATCTCAGTCTGCAGCTGATCATGTAAAAATGGAAAAAATGTTAGAAGATAGTTTTAAGCTGGGTTATATTGTTAGACTCACTGGAGTAAAGATTGAGAAAAGGTTAAGTGGCATTCTTATATTTTACTATTTAACCATTTAAACGTCATGTGGTTTCTGTTTTATTGAAACATGCATCTGCTCACAAGGGCTTTTCACATGGATTTTGATAACATTTACATTAAGCCAGCAGGAGAATTGCTTCAGTTCTATGACATGCAGCAACAGCATTTCTCCCTAACTTAAATACCACATAAGTAATTAAAACCGTACATGAAGGATTACTGTCATACTGGAGAGTTTTCAAATTATTTTTATGATTTCTCATCTAATTATGCTACTGAAGGAAAAAAAGAAATTTAAAGAAGTAAACCAACAGCAAATCCTGAATGGTCTTTTCTGTACCATGTTGCATAGAAACACTTGTATTACCTGACAGTTATAATAAAAACAAAGAAGAAACAACAACTTTAACTAAAAAATATTACCATTTCTTACAAACAATTTTTATTAAAGAATTACTTCCTTCATATAAAGCTATCTAATAAAGGACATATACAAATATATCCTCAGTCATTTGGAACAATTCAATTTAAAGTTCAGAATTTTATTTTATTTTCAAAAAAATTTATGATTCAAAGAACAGACAATGAATTGTAACCTACGAAATAAAAATGAAGGATGTGCACATACATATCTAAGCAGACCACAGATAAGAAAAAAAAGATAACATCCATACCTTAAATATCATCATACTTCTAACCACATTTAAGCAGTGTAAGAATGTTTACAACTGATATCAGTGCCTAGGCTAGCAAGTTTGAAACTAGTGAAGAAATATATACACTATATTGTACATCATAACCTTTTAAACACAGTGATTTACAGATCTTTAACATAATCTGAAAGGGAGAGGGAAATGAACATGAGCTGCACAAAGTTTTTAAAAATCTTTGATGATTCTGTTTCTAATAAAGATGTTAATAAACTCAAGGCAGGGTTGATTTGCACCTTATAGACTAACTAAAACAGAGACATATAAAGATGTATAGAAGGAGATCTAGTTCTGATTTAGTTAGTTTATAAGGTTCAAAACTACCCTACCTTTTACCTGATATCAGACTAACATAACTAACCTCTCTGCTCATGGATAGTAAAACTCACACTGAATTCAGTGGTGCTGGACAGGGTCCCCAGGACCTTAATTCTTCTCCCAAAGTCAAAGGATTTATAGACCAATGCAAGTAAGAGAAGAATCAGTCCCAAGATACCTACACAAAAAAAAATCTTACTATGGAAAGCCATGGCCCTACAATCACATATTAACCATCATAATACTTATTATCACAACCTTATGAGTAGTTAATATTACAGGACAAATGGTTAGTCCATTGAAGTCAATAGAGATAATCCAGCAAAACATTTCCCTCAACACTTAGAAAAATGCATTTGCAACATTGTTTCCCAATTCAGACAAATATAAAGCACACACAAAATGCTGGTTATAAGAGTAATTCAGGGAGATTCAGGGAAATACAATTGAGGAATCATAGAAAATTAGGGTTGGAAGTGATCTCAGGACGTCATCTACTCTCCCGTCATCCCAGGGCAAAGCAGGACCAGCCCCAACTAGATCATCCCAGCCAAAGCTTTGTCTAGACAGGTCTTAAAAACTTCCAAGGATAGAGAATCCACAACCTCTCTGGGTAACCCGTAATGGGTAACTTATAATGGGTAACCTGTTCCAGTGTTTTCCTACCATCCTCATGAGAAAATTCTTCCTACTATCTAACCTAAACTTCTCTTGCTGCAACTTGAGACCATTGCTCCTTGTTCTGTCATCTGCCACCACTGAGAATAGTCTAGCTCCATCCTCTTTTGAACCCCACTTCAGGTAGTTGAAGGGCGCTATTAAATCCCCTCTCAGTCTTCTCTTCTGTAGACTAAATAAGCCCAGTTCCCTCAGCCTGTCCTCCTAAGCCATGTGTCCCAGCTCCTTCACCATTTTTGTTGCCCTCTGCTGGACACTCTCCAGTTTATCCACACCTTTTCTGTAGTGGGGGGCCCAAAACTGAACACAGTACTCCAGATGTGACCTCACCAGTGCTGAATAGTGGGGAATAATCACTTGCCTTGGCCCCCTAATGTAGCCCAGAATGTTGTTAGCCTTCTTGGCAACAAGGTCATGCTTCTGGCTCATCTCCATCTTATTGTCCACTGTAACCCCGAAGTCCTTTTCTGCAGAGCTGCTGCTTAGCCAGTCAGTCCCCAGGCTGTCATGGTGCATGGGATTCTTCTGTCCTAAGTGCAGGACTTTGCTCTTGTCCTTATTGAACCTGATGAAATTTATTTTGGCCCAATCCTCCAATCTGTCTGTCATGCTGAATCCTAGCCCTACTCTCCAGCGTAACTACTACACACCCCAACTTGGTGTCATTCGTGAACTTGCTGAAGGTGCAATCCATCCCCTTTTCCAGATCATTAATAAAGATATTAAACAAAACCAGGCCCAGGACTGAATCCTGGGGCACTCCACTTGATACTGGCTGCCATTGAGGCAGTATATATTGAACCATTGATTAGTACCCATTGAGCCTGACAATCCAGCCAGCTTTCTACCCACCTTACAGTCCATTCATCCAACCCATACTTCCTTAGCTTGTTTGCATGAATGCTGTGGGAGATGGTATCAAAAGCTTTGTTAAAGTCAAGGTACTTGTGTCTGGCAGTACTATCCTACAGTGGAGTTAATTAGTTTACTCCATCCTAATAGCATTGCATGTGTAGACAGTGATGTTTTACCGTGGAGCTAGTCAATTCTGCAGTAAATGTCTCACGTAGGCACACCCACTGACTTCAATGTGCACTAGCTACTCAGCACTAAAGCTCTGTGGACTTTCTTAGCATCTTTGAATGAGGTAGCTTCCTCCATCTAAAAGAGGCTTAAGCTCCCACTCAGTGCTTGCTAGGACCAACTGCACTGGGAACTAAGGAAGAGCAGCTAATGGGTTGCAATTTTACTCTCTAGTTTCCTGTGCCCTAACTTTCTTGTGAAGACAAGCTGAATTACTGCTGATTTACAACAGTTACAACTCTCTGATTGTACATATAAAACACCACCCAGAAACAAATCATAAATATTCCTTGCTTTGATAGGTTATAGCCCAGTATAACTTGAACCTGAAGTCAATAGTAGTCTCTCAATTTACTCAAAGAGGAGTTAGATCAAACCATTTGGGAGACAAGGTAGTCTACAACAAGAGTCAAGGAGTAAAAGCCAGAATATATTGATTCTGTTTCTGCCTGTCATTGACAGGCTATCTGGCTTTGGGCAAATCACAAATTTTCTCAGTTTCTCATCTGTAAAATGGAGCTGGTATCTCTTACTCAAGCTTATGGATTTAATATGTGCCCCTTCAGAGGAAAGGACTATTGCATGAAAATACAGAAGTATTATTATTAATAATTATATAATATATTTTAAAAGATACTGTGTCATTAAGATCTTTAGTAGAGCTCTCCATTTTAGGAAACAGCAAAAGTTATACACCCTTGAAAATACAAGTATGTTGACACTTGTTTAGCAATAGCAATACTAAATGTCATTGCTATAACTGTGCCAAAATAAAAACATAATTTCAAATGAGATAAGCACTTTGAAATGCAATTTTTTGTTTTGTTCTTTCCTAAGCTTTAGAAATATCTATCAAACTGCAAATCAGCCAATCAGTCGCACTTCTGAAACACATTGCACATTACAGTGTTTATAATTACTAGTTCAGTATAATTATTAGTTAATCAGAGCATATTGTGAGAAGAAAAAGCCTCCTGATTTCAAGCTTAAAGTGTCTGCCCTTCTCTAAGCAGTCACATGGCTGTTAAAAAATGCTGCAGATTAAAATGTGTGCAATGAATATTTGTTCAGAGAGTAAAACAGAACACAGCAGAACAAAACCAAAGTATAAAGAAGACAGGAATATCAACAAATAAAAAAACATTTTAAAAGGTTCAGTTATAGTTTGATTTAGTGATGATACATGTAATATTTATGTATTTATTTGATTTTTTGATTTGGGTTTACTTTTATGGGGGGCACAAAATCAGTTTCAGTTGAGGTCAATGCCAAACACAAAAAGAACAAAAGGGGATTCAGGAACTAGGGAAAAATACTTGATTAAACTAGGTCAGCTTGCCAGCAGGATCAAAGATTTAACTTTATTTTAAAATGGCAGCTGCCTTTTGGTCATTTTCAATCATCACTTAAAAAAAATAACGGAAAAAGAAGAGATGTTCTAGAACTCTCCAATGACAAATTATTCAAAATGCAATGGTTAGATTGAGTTGTTGACCTGTGAAATCACAGAAAGGTCAGAAACACAGGTCAGCAATAGCATTCAGTGATTCATCAAACAGTCTGAATCATTTAGAAGGCTGGAAACTTTCCATTTATTTAATGCTATGTATTTTCCCTGCTTTATATTCTTCCCCAGTGAACAATATGCAGTTGAATATCGTTAAAACACATTTTTGTACCTAGTAATATGTACACGAGAGACATAAATCATTAAACTGTTGAGCAAATGACACAACTGAGGGACAAACA